TGCTCAAAATAATTTGCCAAAAATAGTGAAACAGCTATTTTTGATCACCGATAATAGTACAAAACTACCATCTGTTTCATATTATTGTAAATTATGTCTCACACAACTGCTCTCTCCAACAAATCATATCTCTCCAACATTTTCCGTGGCACCAATTTTTAGCTTGTCCTAGATATGATTCTCTTGAGAAACAAGAAGTCATACTTAAACAGGCATGCTTATGAACTTGATCAAATAATCTGACAAGGGTAAAAATTGCATTTTAAAACAATGAGGAAGTCTTATGAGAGAAAGAAAACGATTACCGATATTAAAAATGCCGGTACAATGAAGTTGTTCTTCCCAATATTCCATCATTGTTTTAAAGTGACCAGAACAGACCAAGTGCATGAAGTCGCGCGGTACTTGTTGTGGGAAAACGAGGATTCTTGTTAATGGTGATGGTCCTTTGATACCAAATCCTTGGAATGCTGTGTGTTCATAAGATGCCATATTTTTGTAGTCTTGGGGTGTTTTTCTTTCATGTGGTTGCTCTGTGGGTGGATAAATGACTTGTTTGCCTGCACCTAAAACACCTTGAACTTTACATTCTGGACACGCAAAGTAGCCGTTATATTGAGTAATATTCATGAAGTGTGCCATAGCCGGCAAATCAAATGTCGCCCATTGAGTGCGTACACGATACTGGACAGTTTTGCTTGTACTTTTCAATTTAATTCCATTTGTCATTAATTTTTCAATTTGATTTATTACATCATTCCACAATAGAACCTGATCAGGTTTCACACCGCCCAACCATGCAATGAATATCATTGTCGCTCCACTGGAATCGCGAACAGGTGGTGGTATTTCAGCTATAGTGCATTGCACAGGCCATAACGATTTACTTCCAACTTGTAAAACTGGGACACCGTCTGAAGTGGACAAAACTCTGAAGCATATATACTTTCTTGACGTACGGATTGAACGTTGTCATTTTGTTACACGATGATCGCGACAATGGAAATTGAGGAAATAGCTGTTCAAAGTTATTATTCGTTTTTACATTTCAAAATAATTCAAATGAATACAGTACAAAAAGATAGCTGTATCTCATTTAGTAGTTACAAGTGTAGACCTATCTTCAATCCTTTTTCAACGAAAAATAGAGCGACAGTACATTTCGAAAGACTGTATTTCGTTGATGTACTTCACTTATAGCTGTTCTCACCCTTTAAAATTGGTCTCCGGAATTCTATTAGGGTCACACTAATGTTTCTGTATTAATTATATAACTTTTCACCTCTTCTTCTTTCTCTTCTTCTTTATTTTTTATCGATTTTTTTTTCTTTTTGTGCTTATATTGCACAGTAAAGCCCTGATAATGTTTGCGTGTGAATAAACAACACCAAATGCGTCGGTGAATCAAATTTTTGTTTTAAATCATTTTATTTTAAAAAAAAGAATAAAATATCTTTTTTTATTTTTCACGAATAAGTTGCTGAAAAACAAAAGTTGTAATTAGCAAAATTATTATGTCTTTTGGTTAAGAGGTTGAGTTAGCCTGTTATTAATTTGATTTATCCTCACCCTGATCAGAAGTCGGACGTGGCAACGTATACAATAAATCTGGAAGTTTTTGCAGATGCTCCTTTATTGCCAACTTAACATCACGTACATCATTTGTTCTCTTCTTATCCACATTGAGTTCGGTATCAAAATAAATTTCTTTGTCGATCATAATGTTTATAACACTTTTGAATGCGTCAGAGTAGCATGAAGTATACTGTCCTTCCTGCTTATGTTTTTCGGCAAATCGCATTAAAAATTCCACCGAAGCGCCAAAACGACCCGCATTTTCATTTTTGTAATCCTTGGGATTTTTTGGTAAACCTTTTGTATCAAGCTTTTTGAGGGTATTCTCATCTAAGCCAATATTCCCTTTGCTATCCTTGATACCGAGAACGTTTAGAAGTTTTTGTTCAACATCTTTGAGACCCTTATTGATCACATGATCTCCTTGTTGATGTGGATCATTTTCCTTCGGTTTAACTTCCGTCGGTTTATTTTCCTTCGATTTATTTTCCTTCGTTTCGTTGTCGTTTCCTACACCGGAAACCTTATTCAGGTATTCCTCGACCACTTTTTTGATCTTGTCTGGATCGGGAGGATCTATGATATGGATGTTAGCAAGCATTTTTTGGATTAGTTTTTCTTGATCTTGCGTCACTAGAATAAAAAAAAGAGACGCATTAAATGTCGCATCAAAGATGATCAATTACTCACATGTTGCACCTTCTCCCATCAGTAACTTTCGTCGAAGTGGAGTTCGGCATTGATTCATTACACTGACGGCTGGATAAATACCTTCGATGAAATTTGGAGTAGTTAAAATGAATGCAGCACATTGAGCTCGCATATCATCAATCGATTGAAATTTATCGGGCATTTGACTAAGAACGGCAGCAAATAAACAGTCGGTAGGTCCAGCTCCAGCAGTAGCTGCTGTGCCCTGTGTCGGTTCATAATGTCCATCGACTACTGCTCCTGTTGTTTCATCGATCTTTGCTGGTGTATAATTTAATTGAACGTTCGGATTATCAGGATCTTGATTTGATGCATCATCCGATGATGTTTGAAGCACAGTAACCGGAGTTTGAGTTATCATTGCTAAGACGGACAAAACAACATTATCACCTTGTTTACCATTCATCATGTCTAACGCAAGTTTTTCAGAGTAACTTTTCGCTTTTCCTGGATCATTTTCGTTTAGTTTTTGAAGTTCTTCAAGCTTCTTTCGTCCTTCTGGATCGATTTTAATTTCTCCACTTTTAATTTTTTCAAACATATCATTAACAACAACATTCAGGTAACGTTTTGCACCTTCTTGCACCAACTGTTCAGTCACTGTTCCATTAGGATCCATGGCGAGTTGAATTTTCGTTGACATCATTAGAATAGTATTTGAGACGATGAAATTTGTTAATGGGGTGATGAAAGTTCCTTGGATAATCGCACAGACTTGTTCGACAAAAAAATCAATGATCTTTTTGTTCATCATTGAAAGAGACAAAGGTTTTTGTTCAGGTTTTAATAACTTACTCAGAAGACCTACGACATGAGTTCGTTGTGTCTCGGAATCAAAGGTAATATTTGCCAGTTCAACGGATAATTTGTCTTGAAAACTTCTGATGGATTGACCTGTGTTGGATTGAGAAGAAGAAACTTGTCCGACGAAATCTGGTTGATCCATTAGAATAAAGAAACGATTATTGAAACCACCAGTACTAGACAGAATCTCTTTACTAACGAGAAGTTCATAGATTCCCGTCGCTTCTTCCATGGAAATCGACTGGTTGGACTGTAAAATGAGTAAATCTTGGAAAGTGGAAATCTTCTGTTCGAGTAACTTCAGTTCTTGTTTGTATGCTGCGAAGAATTTGTTCGTAATAGTCGCCAATTCGTGACTACCTTTGATCATCGGCAGTAATGTCATCGCTAATTGAGCTATTTTCAGATACTGATCAACTGAACTGTTTTGTCCGTGCAGATATTGTCTACTATGATTGAGGATAGCATTGGTCACACCACAGGACAAAGATTTGAGTGCTTCAACATATTCGTTTTTCTGTTTCGACATCAATTGTGAAACTATTTGTTCCATCTGTTGTCGCCATTGTTTATTTCCATTAAATTTATCTGCATCAATGGCTCGATTGACCACACGTTCATATTCGGGTTTGGATTGTTCAACGAGAAGAATACGTTCGATTTCTGTACGAATAGAATCGGTGAATGCGGACAAAGCTTTATTTGAAACACTATCCGCTGCATAATTCGCAATTTGTCGAACACCAGTTTCGACACAAGTCACCGCAACTTGTTTACAGGCCAATTTCCAACTGTTCGATGATATACCTTTGATAGCACCTGAACCGACGGTTCGAAAACTATTTTTCATTATTGTAATCGTTCCTCCACCAGTCGCTTTCAACATCGACGTTGTTCCAGTAGTACCAGCTGCTGCAGCCGCTTGAGCTGCTTGTTTGACTGCTGAACAGCCGAGTGTGACGAAACAAATAGTTAGACTCACACCTTTTTGAATACCATAATCTTTCCATGAGAATCGTCGAGATATGGCACCACGTACTCCATAAACAATATCATTCATTCCTTCACCAATTAACGATATACCTAAACTGGTACCTAATCCACAAGTGACAGCTGCAAGACAAACACCACCGATCATTTGACCGACACCTAAAGCAACGACTACACTTGCACTAATCCATGGTCGTGGTCCAAGTTCATCAACAATGATCAAAACACGAATACCTAACATGTTGTAAGTATTGAGTTCTTCGTGTGGTTGATCGGTTTTCGAAAATTGATCTGTTAGACGTGTCAAACTTGCTTTAACATTTTCTTCTTTCGCATTGAATGATTTAACAATAGCTTGAGCACGTTTCTTTGTCAAATCGAGTACGGTGACCATGAAATTCTGACGATCATCGATTTGTTTGGCTATGGACGTGGCTTGGAAAGTAGTTAAAGAATATAATTCGACAGAAAATGGTTTGCCAAGTGTCTCGACCATCTTTATCATCTGGAAAATAGTTAAACTCTGAAAAGTCAATGCATATGGAACTTTATCCATTTTTTCGTGGATTTTCTTGAAGTTTTGTAAGTTGATCAATGAGAACAGGATCGATTTGATTGATTCACTTTGAGTAGCTATGCGCATTTTCGCTTCGGAAGACGATAGTACTTGGCGTGACGTGTCTGTGATGATTGTGACATTTGTATTCATGATTTCGATGGCTATCAGATAATTTTCAGCTGCTGTTGACATTAATGTCAAATCAGCCGATCGATTTTTCATCAGTTGTATCACTTCAGGAGCATCGAGATATTGAATATTCAATCGAACAGTGACAGATTCTGGAATATCTGGGATTTTCTTCATTGCTTCAAGATTGGTTTCTACAAAATGAATTGAAACACGTTCATCAACGGTTAATATCTTGAATAAGTCGACGGCTTGATCATATCTTCCGCAATCATGATGGACTTTCAAATGATTGAAACTGATATCGATTGAACCTGAACACTTTTCAAGAAATTTTTTCACTTCGTCATTATACAACTTCCGACTGATCTTCTGTGTTGTACCATCTGTATCGGTAATATTGATGAGTTTTTGTGATTCTTCAATTACTGTAATGGCATTGCTTAGATGATTGAGATAAAGTTGAAGAATATCGACTTTGATCTGAATCTGTTTGGCAAAATCATCAAAAACGAACTCTTCAGAATTTGTCGTAGATTTCAATTGCATACTATATAATTGTGGTAAAATATATTCACCAACCTGTTTTTGTGCTTTGGTTAAATAAGACTTCGCTGTCGTTTTATATTCGCCCGGTAATTTACCTTGATGAAGAAGGCAAAAACTGTAATTAGCCAAAGCATCAAAGGCAAAGATTGGATCTAGCTTGAACGCTCGTTCGAGTCGATTCATCACTTGGTCAATAGATACTGAATTTGTTTCCACATAAGGAATATAACTGAGACAATATTGAAACGTATTGCTCCATGAGAATAATTTTTGCATCATAGTGTCAGCATCTAACATTAGATAACAAGGATTGTTAATGATATCATCACTTTTAAAATCTTTCTCGATCTGTTTTTTCAACTGTTCAAAACCGGCATCAAGATCCAGTTTGCTCACTTGAGTGGCAGATCGATCCACTAGATTTTGACCCCAGTCTTTCATTTTACCAGCTAAATTTTTCATATTGTTGAACCATTTAGTATGTCTCGCTGTTTCTTTTTCAAGTGCTTTTTCCTCACTTTCTTTAGGCTGAGTCGTAGATGATTTGTTTTCTTCGGTGGGTTGCTTGAGAGAAACATAGTACGAATCAACTTCATAACCAAGGAAACATTGATCTAAAGCATTTTCTTGCTCATAAACACATGGACCTCCATAATCGCTTCGGTAAATAATAATCGTTACTTTTAATGCTCGACTTGCAGCACTATGTCGTTGTTCATCGTTCATTTCAGTATAAAGATTTTTATGCTCTTCGATATGTTTCATAACCATCTGTTTGATATCTTTGGCATTTAATTTTCCTTCCAATTGATGTGATATAGCATGATAAAAACTATCATCATCACGAGGCATTTCCTCGTACTGATATCCTACTGTTTCGATAACTTGTTGAAGAGCCTTTCGATTTTGAGTGGCATGATCCATTGATTTCAACCATAGACCCCATTGTTCTTTGGCACTGAGCAATCGGTAAGGATCGTTATTTGAGGTTCGTAATTGAACGAGAAGTTGGCAGAATTTTTTGAATAATTCATCCTTTAATTTGATATCACTGATTTCTTCCGTCCAAATGCGATCGAGATGAGCACGTTCAGCTTGTGCTCGCCAATAACGGAACAAAATCATCGGATCAGAAGTATCAGTTAGATTAGTATCGAATAAAGCGGGATCATTGCTCATCAGTTGACGTAAAGTTCGGTCCTGACAAAGAATCATTTGTGATGTGCCACGATTACCTTGTCGTGATGTTCGACCGAAAGCTTGTTCTTCGACACGTAAGTTATTGGGTAAAAACGTCAAACAAACATGAAGACCACCGTGTTTTTCCACTTCTGGACTTGTTTTCAGATCTGTTCCTCGACCGGCTAAATTTGTTGCTACGATAACTTCACCAGGTTGAATTTTATCATTGACAGCATTGGATTCGACTGCATCAGTATTGTCGCTATAAAGACGAATGGAACAAGTTGGATCAGCACGTTGTAATTCTGTGGTGATTGTCTTAGCATCTAATCGAGTTTCACAGATAATGAGAATGGCTCGATGATTGCGTACATGATTTAAACTATTGGATACGATGGTATTCAACCATTGATCATCATTTATGGTCAATATGGGATCCAATAGAATGTGACGTTTCTCTTTGAAAGGTGGAATGCTGATCGTATCGACATTGTAAATTTTCTGTAATAGATTTTGAGCGTCTTTCGAACCGATGGTACCTGTTAAGCCGTAAATTTGAGTGCCATAACGAGTGAATAGACCGACATTGGAAAGATAATTAGTGGTAACAGTCAAGGAGGTCATTTTAAGACCATGTTTGATTTGAAGAAATTGATGAAGACCATCACTCCATGTTGTACTAGCTTGAATGACACCTGTATTGGAAAAATCAATTGGCATAATCCGTTTTGTACGTGTTTCATCGGGTTTGATCATGTAGTGATGATCGAGACGATATTCAACTTTAGCACGAATGGCATGATCGATCCACGTCGGAAGAGAATCAATGACAAATCGATGTAAATGTTTAGGAATTTTGATCTGTGATTTCGAATCGAGAAGAAATTCTTTGAGATTTTTGACGATTAAATCTCGATTAGATACGACATCAGCATCAGCTTCAACCGATCGCCAAACACCATAGAGTGATGAATTGAGCCATTCCATGCCAGGCAATTGATCAGCTAAACGAGCAATGGTATTATTTTCATCAATGAGCATACTATCAACTTCATCGATAATAATCACGTCATGCCGACGAGCTGCACCAGTACTGTTGTTAATCGTGCGTGTATGGAGTAGACTAAATTCATGACGAAGTAAATCGAATTGAAATTGACTGGAAGTACCATAGACGATATTGGCTGCATAACAGGTCTTTGGCCCAGAAACGTAACTGGTCTCATCATTATTATGCGAAACTTGTATTTTGAAATATTTATAGAACTTTTCACGTTCCTGAGCATCTCGTTTTGCTAAAGTCATTGCACTTGTAACAATGTCAACATGTTGACCTTGTAGGGCTTTGATTACGGCTAAGACGGAAACAACGGTCGATTTGCCTTCACCCGTTAAGATCTGTAACAAACGTCCTCCTTGCTCATTGCGATCGAGCATAATGAGAACTGCTAAGATTTGGATCGGTCGTGGTTCAAAATGGGAATCAAGGTAGACAGCACGTTTGATTACAGCAAGAATTTCAGATAAAGGAAGTCGATTAGAATTAGTCGATTGAAAATTTAAAACTTCAATGGCCCAAGCTTGGATTTCGCTGATACTCCAGTTTTTGATCGGTTCATTTTGTGCAAAACGGGATGAGTCGTTTTCGTAGGCTTGATCGATTTGAGCGAACATTTTTTCGAATCTAATAACATCAATATCTGGGTTGTCTCGTTTGATTTCAGCTAAAAGCGTTAATAAATTTTTCTCGGAACTAATTGAACCGAAACAATGTTCAATGGCTAAGGCATGGACATTCGCTGACCACGATTGGACATTTTCATGAGAAAAGATATCTTTTAAGGAGTTTAGACTATTTTCATTCATTTTGTAATCAATTAGAATTTGCAAAGATCGAAGAAACTGAGATAAACTGTCGGAGACATCTTGATGCAGTTTGATGCTATGTAATAAATCGATAAGTTTGCTCAATCGCCAGCCATTTTCAAGTAAGACTTGTAAATCATGACTAGCACTTTTGAACTGTTTCTCAGATCCATTGGCACAAGTCGATAATGTTTTATTAATAATCATCAATTCGATCTTTTTCTGCAACGATTCGAACCCGTCGAGACTTTTGCGATTAGCGAATATACTAATTAATTGATCACCGGTGATCTGATACGTTGTCACAAGATCAAGAATGGTTAAAATATTATCCGGCGTCTGAATAAATTGAAGAAATGGTTCAATCAATTCTGCAGGTAGATTTTCTTCTTTGGATATTCGTTCAATTAAATGATTAAGAACAGTTTGGGAGTAACGAGTATTGAATGACCATTGATTAAATATCGTTTGAATAAAATGCAAACGCATCTGGAAGAGCCAATTGTTTTCTTTCGATTGTAAAAGTTTCATCGCTTGATCAGTTGAAGTCTTTGAATAGATCAAAATTTGATTGATTGTGGCTAAATTGAAGTCATATGAGCGTTGTTTTTCAATCAATGCTCGAAGAAAATCATCACGTTGATCGTTGTACAACTGGTATTTTTTGAATATTTCGAACTGTGTTAATTCATGATAAAAGTTCAAAATTTGATTGGGGCTTTGATCGCAACATCTCGTAAATAAATCAATACATAAAGATTGACGAGACCACTGAGTAGCTGGAAGTTCAAACGTCGTTGGTTCGAGATATTCGACAAATAAGAGTGTTTGAATCGTCCCAAGACACTGTTGGACGGTTGTTTCTTTAGCCAATCGATCTCGATCGATAATCGATGGTAACGGAATAGATTGAAGTAATTCTTGGGAATATTTCACATAGCCTCGTGAGATTTGAAGACAAAGAATATTGAACGATTTTCCGACAATATCATCCGTGCCTTGAGAGAGTTGTTCGACAAAATACGAAATGAAATGAGTAGGTAATTGTTGATATCGAGCTATATTTTCCAAACACAGCAGAGGTTCATTGACTGTATTCGAATCTCCTTGCGACAAAAGAATCTCGAGTGTTTTTTCTTGGAAAGGAATAGATTTTTCGGCCATGATTCGAATGAGAACAAACATACGTTCACTTTGGCAGAGCGGGAGAGTATTCTCAATTGATTGCGAGAGTTTTGCATTGAACTGGATGTCATGAGTAAATGCAAGAATCAATACAGCGATCATTTCATTAGAATGCTTGATCAGCTGATTAACAATAGTAGAGAGCAGTTCATGTGGCACATGTTTCTCGAGGATAATCATCGCACGAATAATTTTCAATGCTTGATGAACATCGTTGATATTCGATGAAAGAATCATTTTTTGGACATCTTCGTGTTGTGTTTTTGATAATAACAGCCTTTGATTGTCGAGAAATTCGCGTACCTTCACGTTTCTTTCCTTCTGAGTAATGAGTAATTGCTTTGCTCGTTGTTGAATCGTTGGTTGTTTCGAGTGCTGAACGAGATGAAGAAGATCATCAGTTACTGATGATGGCCATGTTGATGCGGAACTCAACAGCAATGGTAATGTGTGCATACTAATCGATTCATCCAATAGAGTTAAACAAATGGCATCGAGTACTTTTTTCGGAAGATTTGGACCTGACGAAAGAGTCAATGCTAAAATCGTCGCTGCTTCTCTCTTCAGATTGAGATCACAACTGTAGAGCATGTGTGATAACCGTGTCAAATAAGCTTCTGGTAATTTCTTGCCATTTTTCACTACATCTCTTAATTGTTTCAGTAATGATTGATCATCGAGATTTGGATCATGACCGAAGAGATGAAGAAATTCTTTCAAATCATCGTGTTGACTCGAAGAATTCGATTGAGCTAGTTTAAGCGTTTTTAAAATGATTTCTTGAATATCTGTATCGATTTCACCGTCTAATAGTTGAAGAAGAGTATTGATCATTGTTGAATGAAGATGTTGGCGATGTACTGCTAGAGTGTGAACAGCCGAACAAAGTTCTCGAAGAATCGTCGTTGGTTGTTGAACTTGAAGAAGCGAAGGTAGATGAGTTTGATTGGCATCATTCGATCGATTATTAGCTAAAGCATTAAAGAAGGATGTGAGTCGATGTCGAAAATCCATTGACAAATCTTTCCAAAGATTCAATTCGAACCATTTGAGAACTCGTCGAATAATCGATGAATCGAGAGGTTTTCGTCGTTCGATCAGATGTTGATAGATCTCGATGACGAATAAATTAATGGATGGATTGTCGAGAAGTTTTTCTAGATGATCAATAACATTATCAGGAATGGCTTGATTTTGTCGACTCAATTGAGTAAAGGTTAGCATCAAATCATGTGAAGGATAATCACCACTTTGCAGAAAGATTCGATCTAATAAAGCACGATGTTCGCTATTATTAATATGTTGTCCATTAGAGATGACATTGAGGATGATGGGTATCAACGAAGATTGATGATTGGCTGATTTCAATAAATCAAATAATGTATTGAGAACAAATAATGATAATTGTTGACCTTGCTGAGTCAAGTGAACTAATCCAGCAACAGCTTTGTGAATTGTTGATTGACGTGTTGAATATTTCAACGCTTTAGCAAAATAAATTTGACGAAGAAGTTCATCGATCGATTTCGGTAATGGTTGATGGCGATCAGCAAAGGTGAGAAGAATGACAATATCGTTCGGATTGTTCGCCTTTAAAATCAATTGACCAAGAATATCGATGACTTTTTTCGATAGGATATGGCCAGAACCAACGATGATTTTCAAAATAGCGATGATATTCGGTAGAATTGGCGTTTCAGTGGTTAATAAATGTTCCAAACAAACGATAGTGGCTCTTCGTAGTGGTCGTCGACGAGAGTAGGATTCAACAACAGCAATGGTTTTGATAGAAACCATTGCTTCCCGATCATAAAGACACATTTCTATTAATTGAAGAATTGACTCAGGTAAATCATAATCTTTCTCTATCAATTGCCGAAGAAATTCTAATGCCAAGATTCGTACTTGCAATTCATATGGACGTTGAAATAGCATCAACAATTTTTCTAATCGAGCTGATACACGACGAATTGTTTCGCTGTCGTTTCGCACAAGTTGACCTTGCCAATAGGTGATAAACGTTCGACCTGCTGGATTTCGAATATGTGATTCCTGATCATCTAAACAAAGATCGATTAGATCAAGAATGGGCATTGATAATTCTTGTCCATCATCCACTACATGTTTGAATGTCCAAATAACTCTTTGGCGTAAGAAAAATTCCGGATGTTGAAGAAGTCGAGCAAGATTTTCTAAAGCCACAACTGGAACGATTTGATGTTTTTTCGACATTGTCTGATAGAGAGAAACGATATTATCTAATATATTTTGATCTTTTTCTGATAGCAGGACTGCTAATCGTTCAAGAACTTTCGCAGATAAAACAATTTTTTCGTCCATGCCATAATAACAAAGTGCCACTGCTGCTGTTTGTTTGACACTCGTATCTGGACTGCTAAGTATTTCAGTCAGATCGTTGATCAATTCCGAAGAGATCGATTGTTTATCTTTGGTTTCACGAATACTGTAGGCCAGAGCCCATAAACAGTTATCTCGAGCTTTGATGCCATATTCAGCACGCATGCCGACTTGACAAAGAATTCGCATCGTTTGATCAGTAAAGGTACGTTTCTCAATAGCAGCTGCTTTGAAGAAAAGATAACTAGCAGTTAAACCTGTCTTAACGTCTTGTAAACTTTTTTCAAGCGAACTTAAATCTAACTTTACATGATAACCTTTGGAAATATAGAGAGCGTAGATTTCGATTAAGTTTTGTTTTACTGCCGAATCGTTTGCTTCGGTTAATGCTTCTTCGACTTTTTTCATTTGTTGATCGTTTAATTCTTGTTGATTTTTAACAAGAATTAAAAGAGTTTCAGAACATAGACCAGAGACATTTTCTTTATCATCTATCAATCGTGAGAGCATTTCATCGATAATGTCCAATGGAATAGCTTGCTCGGCCTTTGCTGCATCTCGAAAAGCCGTGGCAATAGTTTGATGCATAGACGATTGCGTATTCCATGTCGTCCAACCGAGAAAAATCGTACTTTTGAAACTGCTTAACAAATACGTAAAATCTTGATCTTTTAATTGACCTGTTTTAGCTAATGTTGTTAGATTTTCGATTTCTTGAAGGGTCGATCGGTACCAGGCTTGATTGTGACCGGATGAAGCCGTTTGGGGTTGTGCTTCGGCATTGAATGTTCGATCTAAATAACCGACGGTACCTAGTAAATGATCGAGACTAAGTGCTTTTGATGTTGGTTCACTCGATTCTTCTTCACAACGAGAGATCGACGTGATTTGGCTAACAGTCAATTCTTTTTTCACTTGACTCTTCCCCATAAAACTGGCTGCATTGGATAAAACTCGTTTATGATCGAGAAAATCGAGTAATTCATGAATACATTTAATGAATGCAGCATCAATATTCGTTGCGAGTTGACGTAATCTATCCACCGTTTTTTTTTCAAGAATAGCACCACCGATGGCCATCATATGTAATGCATTGACAGTTGCAATGAAAAGTCGTTTTGGAAGATCATCAATCATCACTAATTCTTCAAATTTATGTTTGATGAACGGTGCAACCATTCTTCTAACATTGAACACCTGACTTAATGTATGAACAATCATTATACGAACTTGTTCGCTCAGTTTTTGATCGAACAATAATTTTGGCATAGAAATCCACTTCGTATCGGGCACCATTGGGATGTACTTGTCGTTTTCAGACATCTTTCGAAATAGATAAGAAATACTCCAACCCAATGTTTCATCCTTCAATGAATTAAACAATAACCGAATCAATAATGGACTAAGAAAATTCTTGATTGGTAATATCGTTGCAAAAGTCCACATAACGCATTGACGAATAATCACATGGTCAGTGGATAAAAGTTCGGCTAGATTGACGAAATAATCTGGTTCCACGAAGCCACAGTGATGAGCAGCATGTGCACATAGAATATATTTAGCAGCACGTGAATCCGATCGATCGGAATTATTCGCAGCAATATGACGAATTTCATCGAGATATTCGACGGGTATTTCTTTACCTTCTGCTGCATCCAAAGCAATTATGATCATCTGAGCAATGAGATGAGTAGATACTAAAAAATTAACAAGAGATGAAATATTAATTAATGAAAATCTGCATGTCCAACTTATGGACATGTGATTCTCATGTTATCAGCCAGAATTTCATAAAAAAACTGCTAAGAAATACACCAAATGGTGGCCTGTTAGTCTTTGACATCTTACCGTTTTCTGATGAAAACGAACTCATCAGTGATGTAATACTTGATTTATTGTGATAATATCTTGAATTTCAATCTAAAAATAAAAATTCTTTGTCTTGTATGATCCTTTTCGAGTTACTGATTTAAATCATATTTAATCTCTAGAAAGTTATTAATTATCTAATTAATCAGTTTCGATGTAAACAATTATTAATTATCGTATAAAAGTCTAATAAAACAAAAAAACACGTTATTGTCATTAGAGTGGCAAGCTGAGGTGTACCTGGATATGCTCTCTCTGAGCTCTAATAACATTAATTTAATTTTTAAGTAAGAAAGTAAGAAACATTTCTCAATGATATTCGAGTATGAAAAGAGGCAGTTCATATATAGGAACATAAAAATTCAACAAACAATTTATCTTAATGTCGATGAATCCTTATGTAGCGATCTTTATGAAAAAGAAAACTGTACGAGAAGATCTCTCAAAAATAAAGTGTTTCTTAAGATAATTGACAAACTGATTTCATGATGTTTTACCCGGTTTTTTCTTCAGGAACATAATGCAATCAAGGTGTATCATTCACCTGACTCGCTTCGAGACTGAGCTTAAAATAAAGTATACAGGAATTTTATTTGTAAACCATTCTCCCTACTCGTCATAGAAACCACGTTAACGGTTTTTTAAACTGTTTTTTGAGCTTCAGTCTCAGACTTCTCTAAGTTCTCCCATGTTCGCCTCAATTATAATTGAGAAAGTTAAGAAAGCAGATATAAACTGCAAAAGAGATTCGAGTATAAAAGTGGTCTTTAGATCGTTTTAATAAAAAGTATCTTATATAATAGACACTGTTTAAAATGTGAAGAAAAACGTAGATATCTTCAATCACACACGTGTATGTCATATAAGTGATATACAGAAAAAAATGTGTATCTGTATTTAAATTCTTTTACATTGCAAAATGTTAGAAAAGTATATGTGCCTTATATATAAAACATTCTCTTTCGTATGAAATATATAGTAACTTTCGTTAAATGAGAAATAAATGCCGTTATGGAGATATCACGCACGTGCTCTTGTTTTCTTCATGTATCAGATATTAGGACACTCTTTTAAGTTAAGAAAAGAAATACACTTTTATGGTTGACTTCAATCATCTTCAGAATTTTGTTTATGCGATCGATACACGTGTATTTGTTCGTAAGAAATGTCGAAATATGGAAGATTTGGGCTACAAGATTCCGCAAAAAACTTTTCTGGCAACCCCCTTGGAAAAAAGGCGCCAAATTTTGATATGCAATGTGTAGTGTGAAAAATATCGGATAAAAGTAGAACAAAAAAGACCAGACAATGGTCTTTTCTCTATTCTATCTGAAAGGTCATAAAACATACACTAGGCATCTAGCAAAATTGGAGATATCTCTTCTAGCACAAGATATGCGTGTGCAAACATTGCGATATATGTGACGTAAAAGAACGAGGAAGATAAAAGAAGTTTAAAAAAATGTTGAAAGAATAAAATGGTCAATGAAAACAACGCTGCACTGACTTTTCCTCTTTCTTCACACGTCAAAACAGAAAAAGAGAATATCTATTATTGATAGATATATACACGGATATCTTGAAGATATACGTTGTGCATGTGCGAGAAGAGATATCTCCAATTTTGCTAGATGCCTACTGATTTTACTGAGTCGAGATATTGATTTACTATTGTCGAGACGTTTTTTATCGTTCCTCTTTTATTTGCTGAGTATGCATACGAAACAAAATGATCCAATGGAATTTATGCATTCAAAGCTTCTAACACGTCCTATCCTCCAGAAGAGCAAGATATTAATGGGTGTCATCATCAATTCAGATCATATTCATGCTCATGTCATATAAAGTGGTGGTATCTCGTCAACTTTTCGTTGATTTCAGCAGAGAATCTCATCATTAACTTGTGGGAAAAAATTTTAACTGTCTCAAGGTTGTTCGAACTCGCCATACTCGTGCTTCTCGAATATTATCTCTTTACTTGAGCCGCCTGAATATATCACATTACTCCAATTCGCTCCGTTAGCAAGTGAGATACGGATGTACGGATACATTATCTTAAACGTACCTTTCGATAGAATTTTGTATTTTTAATGATTTCTTGATTAACTTGATAGCAGTTCTTCGTGTTGCCAAAACAATAAAAAATGAAGGACGAATATGTGGTAGAATAGTGTGTCGTGCTTTGTGTCCTATTTATAGAATGATACTACGGCAATCGTATTGGGTACTTATATGTAAGACACGAGGTTATATACTCCTTACTTTGTTTTTTTCTTTCCCAAGCAGGGTTTTCTTCGAAGCAAGCGTGTATATTTTTGTTTCGGTCGTTAACGGTCAAGCCTGTCGTATTTTTTTTCATTTCTTTTCGATTCTTCCGTTTCTATAGATATCTGTATGCACATTTGTATGACTCTTGTTTTTCTCTTATCAAATAACAATAAATCCAAAGAGAAGAGAAACCAAGCAGAAAGAAGCCAAAAAGAAAAAAAAGTCTTACTAGATTGTAGAAGAATTGTTTTTACATTTTGTAGATATACTAAGGGTAGCACGAAAGTTGAAACAAATGATATGGTCAGTTAATAGATGAGAGACTTGCAAAATATGACAGATGATGACAAGTGAAAAGGTCCGCGAAAAAATAATGTCATCACTTCAGAAAAGTTTTTGAAAACTTAACATAGAAAAATGTGTGGAGATGCGAAAATTTTAATGCGTCTTTTAGCTGGAAGTTCGTTAGCTAACTTCGACCAATAAAAGTACGAAGGCCTTGTTGAATAATAGATGTAATCAGCGTAAGAAGTTGAGAGGAGAGGTGTGAACAAGATGTTAATGTTGATGAGTTCTTACCAATGGCTCCTAAACCGCCCCAATTTATCAACAAAGCTTGTCACGTCCAAACAGCAATACCCTCAATTTAAAAGATATACTAGAACGCGAAAGCTACCATCCAGACGCTACACAAGTAACTTACAGACACAACCTTACTCTATGGCACATTCTTAGCTTATGAACAGCTTATTTAGCTAACACACGTGCTGACTTATTTTTTACATAAAATTTAGAAACTTTTTTCGTTTCTTTTTGGTTTTGTTCAGAAATTATCGCGCGTCGGCTTCAGTCTACATCAGAACGTGGGATCAGAAATAAAGAACAAATTTTTTGTTTCACATGACGGAAGAAAGAAAAAGAATCAAGAAAGATATTTGCCGTCGAATATAGTGTAGATGTGAATAAAGATATCTCCATTTTCGTTAGTTTCGATTATCAGTTTAAGAATTTGATACAAATTGGAATATTTACAAAAATCAAAAATGAAATTCCGTACAAAACCGAGCCCTCTGCAACTTTCTACGGCGTTCAGAAAAAATTGTGGAAGAGTTTTAACACGTAGGTCTTAATTTCTCCGTATACTGGCGCTAATTCCCAGCTAAATCTCAAGCAGTTTCAGAGTGTTATGTTAAAACTCTTCCACAGCTTTTTCTGAGCACCGTAGAAAGTTGCAGAGGGCCCAGTTTTGTGGAAAATTTAATTCTTTACAATATCCACTTCATTTTGAATCTGTATGGTGAAAGTGTATAGTACAAAATCTGTATAGTAGAAATGTCTATATAGTTTTCTCTTCCGTTACTTTTTCGACATGCATATCTTCAGTCAGACTTCAGTTAAGGTAAAGTTTTTCAGGTTTAGGTAAGTTCCAGTCAGGGACTTATATTGACAGCTAAACGTGTACGATTGGGTAGTGACAAAGTGGGAAAAATGCAGTTTATCCATGGTAACTGTGGTCTATTTAAGAGTTTTATTGGACAGTGCTTGGTTCAATAAATATTGACACAAAAATGCATTTTGTGTTTAACGGAAACATATCAACTTCTTATTAAAACTAGAAGAGAAAACAGGCCTTTAAAATTTATTTAGGATACTTCTCACCGGGCAAAAGTGGCTTGCTTGAGATTGACAAAATCCAGATAAGTCATCAACCTTGGCCGTAGGATCAAAAGCTTATCGTATTATCAAACAGAAGAGAATGCTTGAGATTTTGCGTTACTATACGTTTGCGTTACCTGTATCAGCACACGGCCATTCCACGCGTACCAGCCAAAAAACGTAAGTCCGTTACGTTTTGTGAAAGTCATAGCTCTTCAGCCGAGCAACATTCACAGTTGGGGAACGCCTTATTTTGTGGCTTAAAGATTTTTCTTTCAAATAGTAATTAAGCAAAGTCTAGCTCTACCCTAAGGACCTGCGCCTAATTCGTGCCAAAAAAAGCCACTTTGTACAAAAGTGGCGTGTAGCTAAAACATTATGTTACTTAAACTAATCGACTGGTAGACTTTGCTTAATTACCATTTGAAAAAAAAATCCGTAAGCTACAAAATAAGACGTTTCCCAACCCTGTACGTTGCTCGGCTGAAGAGTTATCTATCTCACAAAACGTCACGGACTTACGTAAAAGTGAACTTTTACGTGGAATGGCCGCACAGCAGTTTGAGAGGAAGGACAAGGAAAATCCAAAGTCTACTCTTTTTTTTGTCACGAATTTAAACTATTTAATTAAAGGTTTGGAGTTATAGAAAAGGTCTTTATATCAGACGATGCACCGAAATTTCAGCATACGCGCTGAATAACTGATTAAATTAAGATCAACTTTTGCAGGCTGATTGTTTGCACATTTACAGGTTTCATTGGCTCTCGAATTGTTTTTATTTAAAAAGCAGAAGTCGTTTTTCGGTGAAATATATATCTGATGCAATAGGCAAAAATACATATGCATGAAACCTTGAAATATGTCTTCATATCACTCCGTA